AAAAAAAAAAATATATATATATATATATCCAGAGAAAAAGTAAATTTTGAATAAATGAAGAGGTATAAAAAGTACTTTCTTGTTGGGCACAGTGGCTCACACCTATAGTCCCAGCACTTTGGGAGGCCAAGACAGGAGGATTCCTTGAGCTCAGGAGTTCTAGACTAGCCTAGGCAATAGGGAGACCCCGTCTCTACAAAAAATTAAAAAATTAGCATGGTGTGGTGGTGCATGCCTATAGTCCCAGCTATTGGGAGGCTGAAACAGGAAGATTGCCTGAGCCTGTGAATGTGAAGTTGCAATGAACTGTGATGGTGCCATTCCAGCCTGGGTAACAGAGTGAGACCCTGTCTCTAAAAAATAAAAATAACAATAAAACAAAAATAAAATACATTCTGATGTGAAAGACCAAATATGGATGGAAAAAACAAATAATTCTTCACATGTAAATTCATAGGTTTTAAACATTCCAATCTAGACTCCCACAGGACTTTTTTAGAACTCAAAAAAAAAATTTATAAATTTGATACAGAAGAGTGAACAGACTAGTACAGCCAAACTAATGTTTGAAAAATTGTGGCAAAGCATGCCTAACAAAAGTGCAAACAAAAAAATAAACAACATTTCTTCCACTAAAGAAAAAATAAAAAATAAAAAAAATAAAAAGAAAAAGAAAAAAATAAACAACGATAAAAACAACAACAACAAAAAAACAAAGAAACTCCCCATATAAATAAAAACACCTAATTAAAATCTATATCATAGCACTAAAATTGACATACAAATCAGGGGTCAGAACAGATAGCTAAGAAGCAAATTATAGTATATAAATTAATTCAATGTATTACGAGTTATTACAAATCAATTACAAAGAGAAGAATCATCCAATTAAGAAAAGAGAAATTGGGTTGTGCGAGGTGGCTCATGCCTGTAATCCTAGCACTCTGGGAGGCCGAGGCAGGCGGATTGCTCAAAGTCAGGAGTTTGAAACCAGCCTGAGCGAGACCCCGTCTCTACTAAAAATAGAAAGAAATTAATTGACCAACTAAAAATATATATACAAAAATTAGCTGGGTATGGTGGTGCATGCATGTAGTCCCAACTACTCGGGTGGCTAAGGCAGTAGAATCGCTTGAGCCCAGGAGATTGAGGTTGCTGATGCCATGGCACTCTAGCCCAGGCAACAGAGTGAGACTCTGTCTCCAAAAAAAAAAAAAAAAAATGTGGAGCTATGAGAAATAAATGTTTGCTGTTTAACCACAGTCCATGGTATTTAGTTATAGCAGCCCACACAGACTAAGATAATAATCAGTAGTTATATCTCAGTTTATGAGATTATGACTGATTTTTTTATCTACCCTTCTTTTTCAGATTTTCTACAAACTTTATGAATGACATTTGAATTTTTATAAAGCATAATTACTTGTTAATATGCGGCTACATCCCCATTGTAAAAGTAAAAAAAAAAAATAGAGAAATATGAACATAAAAGTTCTCATTTAACATATTTTCTCCCTAGTCCCCCTTGGTTTGGTTTCTCAAAGATAAGCATCAATAATAGTTTATGTATTTATCTTTCCAGGTATTTTACATTCCATATATAAACATGCATACATATGCAAGAAAATATGAACATACAGAATTTGGTTTATAAAAAAATTGTTGCTTATTAAAAAAAATATATGGGAGCTACATACTCCCAGTATAGTGTTCTGTTTGACTCACACAATGATCTAAAATGTTTCATAGCTACGTAAGTAGTACTTGCCTGCAACATAACTGCTTAATGCCTATTGTCAATTACCTGGCTCTTCACATTTTGAACATCTGTTGACCTCTCTAGGTTTTTGTGTTTGTCACCTTGGATTCCTGACATTTTGTGAAATGCTTTAAAACACATACATACAAATAATAAATATGTTTGCATGTCAATATATCTAGATCTACCTCATTCTTTTCTACATAGTATTCAATAGTACCTATTAATTTTATAATCAGAATATTGAAAAGTACACATTATTTTTTTAAAGGACTTTAGGTACAAATTTTCAATTTGAGTCAAATTTCCTGAATGTGTTTCTGTCTGTTCATTAGCTATGAAGCAGGAAGTCTTTTAGTCTCTGTTTAATTTTTCATCAAAGATGGTTTGTGAAAGGGTGCATTGGTGATGTGGAAGGCATTCTTATACTGAAAGCTACATCAATACAGACTCCTGTTTGCAGGGAAGAAAAGCAAAATTATTATTTAGAAACTCCCCAGAGGAAACTTGCTTTTCACACAGAATCGGTTATTTGTCTAAATGTCAAAGAAATTTCCAGGATTTTTGTAAATATCCTTCATGCCTAGAAAATAGCAGTTTGTTTATGATGTAAATCACATTTGCCTCTATCACCCCAGATTGAGCTTAAATATTTTTTTATAAATTTCAGAATATTACAGGGGTACAAACATTTTGGTTACAGGAATTGCTTTTGTATAGGTTGAGTCAAAGTTATAAGTGTGTTCATCACCCAGATAGTGTGCATTGTACCCATTAGGTACGAATTCAGAGCTTCAATCTTTGATTATACTCAGTTCCATACACAGCTGTGTACTGTCTTATTAAGTTCCAATCATTTCATGCCTCATAAGTTTAAGAATTTAAACTTTGCATCCCCAATTATGGTAATTTTCTGGACAAAGCTTCTATATATATGAAATATATGCTATATATCATATAATATAATATTAACATCAATATGTAATTATATATCATATATTATAATTATACATTAATATATAAATTTTATTTATATATGTATAAATATATGCAGACAAAAATAAATGCGACAAAATAAAACCCAGGCACTCGATGGCTCAGTCTCAGCAGGGTGTTGCAGACTGACTCCAGCAGTCAAGGGTAATTGGAAGTAATTCCAATCTTACTGGCATCCCTCAAATATCATTAGAGAGGATGTAATGCAAAGCTTATGGTGACAATTCTCCAAACACACTTGCCTTATTCTTCTTCTTATCTCCCCAAATCTGGCCCAAAGCTTCCCTCCTTAGGAAGGCTCACTCCAGCCTCTCCTTTTTCAAGTCAGTTCCCATCTTGCTTCTCTGTTCTTCCCCACTGGATTACCTGGATTCTGCAGTGTAGGACCCTGGAGACGGGGCAGAGGAAGAGATGGACCAGGAGGTGGAAGGGGACAGTCCTATCAGATGGCACCCAAATCTCTCCAGCACGAGAAGAAAGGGCACAAGAGATGGAACAAGATCTAGACCCTTTTGTATAATTTTTCATACTTGTTAAATATACCTACAGACACTATATTTTTCAGATAAACATTTTGACATACAAAGTCTAGAATTAAGCAGTATATTAAAGCTGGGATTATTCTGGAAAATCAAGGGAGAAGTTTTTTTGCAGCTTGTTAGTTCGTTTCTTAAGAAGAGGTATTGAGTGAGAGACATTGGGAAATGCTTACTTTCAGATGGTATTTTGTTCAGCTAGCACAACGCCGGGAAGAACGCATCATTGCCTCTGTTTTATATGTAAGGAATGTAATGTCACCTTTGGTATATCTGTCCATAAGGAGCACTGTGTTCTCTGGGAATTGTTCTCTAGGAATTGTCCTGCCAAATTCTTCCATCACAAAGGTAACCTTCCTCTGGCTAGAGCTGATTGGACCAGAGGCGCACCCATGACACGAGGTGAGCCAATCAGATGTTCTCCCCCAGGAGTTCAGAATCCGGGTTCAGTTGCAGAAGTGGCTGAAACTTTAAGTTGTTAGTCAATCAACCCTCACAGAGAGTGGATCCAGGTCTGGATAATCTTTGCTGACTCGGAAGGCGGCACAGGTGGTGCTGGGCATTTACTTTCAGCTATGGGAGCTGGGAAAAAGCTAATGCCCCTGCAGGAAAGGGTTGAGAGATTGAAAAGCCCGGTGGGGTGTGATGGGGTGATCCAGGAGGAAACCAGATAGTGTTAGGGGTAGGGGCAAAAGGCAAGAACCTCTGTTTAGAGGTTTGGGAGCAGAGAAGGGATTTGAAGAATTTGCCAGGAGAGTGCAGGGTAACCCGCTGCACTGTCTGTCCTGTGAACTCCTTAGTGAGCCCCAGTGAGTCTCTTATGTTTGGGGGAGTGCAGGCTGTTTCTGGAGCTGTGCTGAGCCCGGCATCAGTGCTGATGTGGGACAGGACCAGGGGCGGGACCACGGGGACAGCTGGCATTTGGGCTAAATGGATAAACTCAGAGGCTAAGGCTGGGAGAGGGGGGTGTCTCTGTGGACAGAGAGACATATAAATGTGGACTGTAGAGAGAAGAAGAAATCTGGTAGATTCTTTCTTGCTCCCTGGCTTTCTAGGAGGCATTCTTGTATACTTACAAATTCCTTTTAGTTCAAAATTGTGTTCTGTTCATAGCTACCAAAAACTTAAAAAATTACAAGGAATCTGTGGTACCTAGAGATTAAATAGAGCCAAGTACTGTGGCCACTAAGTGGTAGGTGCTGGGGTCAGACATGTCTCCTCGTGCTGTCCCCCTCTGTCACACACTGCTCAGCCCCATGGCCGCCTGGCTACTCTGCACACACCCGAGCTCGCAAGCTCACGCCCGTCCTGTTAGGGTCTGCCTCTCCTGCCACCAACAGCCTTAAAGGCCACTCCCTCACCTCATCCAGGTCTCAATTCAAGTGTCACTCAGAGATACCTACCCTGACAACCTCATCTAAACGAGTCACTCCCTGACTTCTCTCTAGCCTTATCTATTTATTTATTTTTACCAGCTCATATCACTATGACATTTATACTATGTATTTATTTGTATACTTGTTTGTCTATCTGCCAATCCCAGAACAGAAGCTGCCCAAGGTCTGGGATCACCTCTCTCATTCGTTGCTGTATTTTAAGTATACTACATGTGGCCTATCGAAGGCACCCAGTAAATGCATGTTTAATTGATTCGTGAAGCCCAGATCTGTTTGTGATCCCACGCTATTTTCATGCCCTCATAGTGCCTGACAGAATCCTAGGAACACTCAGAGAAACCCTACTGGATCAAGGATAAAAACCACCCCTGAAGAGCATCTGTGAAACTTAAGTCCTGCTCAGACAGGGCGGTGGAGGTCACTGACTGTTAAGGGGTGCGGGCAGGTGAAGCCACAGGCTCTGATCCCGCAAGTATAAGAACAAAGGTGAGAATGTGTACATTTATTTCTAGTTGTTCTCTCATAATTAGTTTTTCTGGCCCAAGAAAACAGAGCTTCAGTGACAAAGTGCTTTTGTTCCCATGGTACCACGCGTTAAATCACAAATGACACCTGCTTTGTTCTTGACGTAATGTTATTTTCTGGGGTCTGTTCCGAAAGGTTGTTCCCTTTTATCCTGCTCACTGTCCCCAGTTGGCCTGAGAAGGGTTCTGGCTTGTGGAGGGGAGCCTGGCCCCACAACCAGACGGCAGGAAAGACACTGGGGACGTCCGAACGGTGGCATTTACAGGAAGTTAGGAAGGGCCAGCTTGGGAAGGGGCAGAGGAAAGCCTGGCAAGGCTCTCTCAGTGTATCCTTTTGAAACCAGACTGTGTAACAGAGGGTCACTCCAGCTATGACTTTCAGATCCTGTCTCCCATGCAGCCATGTCGATGGTGGCCCCTGACTAGTTACCCCGACACACATGCTGTTGATTCCATTGCTTGTACCGATGGGCTGCACTTTGGGAAGTTGAGGCAGGAAGATGAGTTGAGGCCAGAAGTTTGAGACCAGCCTGGGCAACATAATGAGACCCCATCTCTGCAAAACAATGAACTAATGAAAGGAGGCAAGTAACCTGAGAATCAGCAACAATCCACAACCAGTATTAAAAAATATGACTGAAACTTTTAATAATAATATTAATTTGCACTTGTATGTTACTCTTTCATAGTAACTTCTTCACTTTCACAGCACTTAATTTTAATAGGTGAGAAATTCACCATGATGAAGTGGCTGAATTTGGTTATTCAGCTAGAGAGTGGCAAGCCCTGAACTCAAACGTCTTTTGTTTGAACTCAAACGTCTTTTTTGAGACAGAGTCTCGCTCTGTCACCCCAGGTAGAGGGGAGGGGTGTCATTATAGCTCACTGCAACTTCAACTTCAAACTCCTGGGCACAAGTGGTCCTCCTGCCTTAGCCTCCTGAGCAGCTGGGACTACAGGTCCATGCCACCATGCCTGGCTGATTTTTCTATTTTTAGTACAGACGGGGTCTCACTCTTGCTCAAACTAGTCTCCAACTCCTGGGCTCAAGTGATCCTCCCACGTTGGCCTCCCAGAGTGCTAGGATTACGGGCATGAGCCACTGTGCCCGGCCCACACAGATGCCTTGACTGCAAGATCAGGACTCTTTCCACTGCAGTGGCCTCCCTATCTCTGCATTCAAAGAATGGCTTGCTGTACAAATTATTTTCATGACTGTGTTACATTGCCAAATATGCAGAGTCTTTAAGGGTCACAAATTCAGAGAAAGCTAAAGATAAATCGAGAATCCTGTAAGTTTTGTTATGTTGTTCTTCATTTCCATTCATCTCAAAGTATTTTTTAGTTTTTCCTTTTGATTTCTTCTTTAATTCCTTGTCTACTTAGGACTGTGTTGTTTAATTTCCACATATTTGTGAGTTTTAAAATTTTTTCCCCTGCTATTGATTTATAATTTTATTCTATTGTGGTTGGGGAACATACTTTGTATTATTTTTACCCTTTTAAATTGATTGAGGTTTGCTTTATGGCCTAGCATATAGTTTATCCTGGATAATGTTCCCATGTGCATTTGAGAAGAATATATATTCTGTTATGCCTGGGTGGAGTGTTCTATAGATATCTGTTAGTTCTAGTTGGTTTAATATTGTTATTAAAGTATTTCCTTATTCTATCCATTGTTCTATCTAATTGTTCTATTATTGAAAATAGAGTATTCAAGTCTGCTACTATTATTGTTCAACTGTCTATTTCTCCCTTCATTTTTATCAATTTTTGTTTCATATATTTTGGTGCTCTGTTATACATGTTTATAATTACTATGTCTATCTATCTATGTATCTGGATTGCCTCTTATCATCATAAAATGTTCCTGTATCTATAACAACAACAACAAAAAAAGATAAATCAGCAACTTGAAGAAGACAGTTGATAGCTTGCATTTGGTAAATCACAACACGAAGCCACATACTGACCCAAGTTGGACGACAGCCTTGTCTCTAACGAGGGCCCTATCCAATGCAACGGGAAGACGCAGAGACTCAGATTTAGAGCCAGCCTTCTCCATGCCTGGGGAGGCAGCGCCTGGAGCCTTCCTCTCTGGCATGTGGAGTCAAAGTTCCTAGGTCCTTCAGCTCCACGGACAGCAAAAGTCACTTTGCTCTTTGGCCTACTTTTGCCAAAAATTCAAAATGCTGTGAAATGGTTGAAATGGCCAACCAGACTCCTGACAGGAAATGAAGCTAATTCCTGCAAATTTTGAAGATGTTAATAATTAATTCCAATTCTCCCTCCCTTCCACTACTCACCCATGTCAGATAAGGGGAGTCAATATTGGCCTGAACTACCCAGATAATTGCTTATTTTTTCCACTTGCCTGGGCGTGTTCTGAAAGCCTAGATATCAACTAGAAGTGGCAATTTTCCCTTTATCTCTGGGCTTTGTTTGTCATTTTAAAAATGTAATGCTACCAGAGGGATAGTCCAGAGACTAAGATGTGTATACATACAGAGTGGTAGAAGGGAAGGGCCCTGCCCATACTCAGCTGGAGGCAGAAAAAAGGCCTTAAGGAGAGAAAGACATTAGGACATCTTCGTGTGTGTGCGTTTGTATAATTGCAAAGCCTTTTATAAGTATAAAACAGAAGAGTCATTTCGGATACAAATGATATATTTGAAAATGTAATTTTTTCAGAAAGGTTAAATGGAAACAAAGTCAAAATCATTTAGAGACTAAATAATGAATTAGAATTAATTTTGGAAGAACATAATTGATTTTAACACATTGACTGCCACACTAGAAAAATCAAATTTGGGGGGAGGGGTCACAGTGTTTTATTATGAAAACAGAATAAAAACTTCATAACCAAAATAATCCTTTCTAATTTAATGAAAAATTTTTCTGTGTGTGAGTTATATGCAACTTAAAAAACAGTTCTCATGGCTCCCAGGTGAAGAGACGTGTGAGTTACATATGCTTCATGAGGCCCCAGGCTCAAAACTAGCGTGAGTTAAATACAACTCACATGGCAGTTGATGTGTTAAAGAATACTCCATCAAAGCAAAGCTCATGAAAATGGTTAAATTATTTAAAACAGAAACAAATATTGCCTAAAAGTTATTAAACCCACTTATAATCTAAAATTTGTGATTAGATATGAGATTATAAGTCCATTTAGGTGATTTCACTAATGACTGTGCAGTAAAGATCTTCATAATCTATTTGTGAGGGTATCAATTGAAAGAATTTTAAAGCTCGTAAAATAGGAGAGGAATGCTGTAGGAGATTTCAAGAACTTGTGAAGCCAACACTATAAACCACATCTTTCCTGGAATAGCAAAAAACAAAAACGAAAACAAAACAAAACTAGTCCCCCAAATTCTGCTAACTATAGAAAGTACCCCGAGAAAGTTCATCTGTGTGTGCTGAGCAGTGTTCAGAAAAATGAGGCCTGTCTTGCAGGTCTGGGTGTAACCCCACATACCTAACTTCCGGTGCCACCGCCAGCTTTCCTATATCTCCCCCTCAAAGCCCCAAAAGCAACAGGATAAATGCTGGTAAAATACCCCCAAAAGGACCCTATTCTTGAATTCTTTCCCCTCTCAGACTCTCAAGGGTTCATCCAGTGTGTTCACATAGACCATACATTTGGTCTGAGACTTCAGAGTTTATATTCCAGCCCAGGCCACACACTTGTACTCTGAGTGAATATTTAACTGACCCTTGTGGACCAGGGACAGCGTTCAGGCTCCCAAGTTGAAGCCATAGAGGAAATGCCACTTGTGACCCTTCTTTTACATGTGGATAACCAAGATGCATAAAACCATTCATGGTCACCAGTGTAACTGACTGCACGGCCTATAAACCAATATCCTTACTGGATAAGAATATTAAAATGTGCACCCAGACATTGGTTTTCCAGGTGGGCTCACTGTACAAGAAGCGTTGGAAACACCTGAGAACTTGCAAGAAAAGCATATTTTTTGGTTGCAGACCAGAACTCCTGAACCAGTAACATGAAGGAGGAGCCCAGCAAGCCAAGATACACAAGCCATCTAGGTGATTCAGATGCATGCTGAATTTAACAACCGCAGCAGCGTCCAAATCATAGCTTATTCCTGAGTTAGCAGATAAATCATTCTAGGACTACACCAAAGGCAGGTGGTAATATAAGAATTGTGACTCAGAACTTAAGAAAATTTATGAAAAAATAAATCTGAGTGAAAACATAGCTTTTATTGGCGTCTTTTCCTTCCCATTTCACTCCCTTCACTGCCCTCCTTGTGCCTCCTAGAATCACCTCCCAAATAAGCCACTTGCACTCCTGTCTCGCAGCAGGATAATCCAGTTTAAAACAAATTGTAGGCCGGGCGAGGTGGCTCATGCCTGTAATCCTAGCACTTTGGGAGGCCGAGGCGGGCGGATTGCTCAAGGTCAGGAGTTCGAAACCAGCCTGAGGAGACCCGTCTCTACCAAAAATAGAAATAAATTAATTGACAAACTAAAAACATATATACAAAAAATTAGCCGGGCATGGTGGCGCATGCTTGTAGTCCCAGCTACTCGGGAGGCTGAGGCAGTAGGATCGCTGAGCCCCGGAGATTGAGGTTGCTGTGAGCCAGGCTGACGCCAGGGCACTCACTCTAGCCTGGGCAACAAAGTGAGACTCTGTCTCAAAAAAAAAAAAAAAAAAAAAAAAAAAACAAAAAAAACCCAAATTGTAATTTATTTAGCATTTGTTCAAATAAGATATGAAACACATATAGTAAAAAACTGTCAGACATATTTGATAATGGAGTTGAATATAACATTCTCACTATCAAAAAAAAAAAGAGGGTTGGCATCTCCTTCCTCTCTCTTTCTTTCTCTTTTGCCATGTGATGTTTCTTCCTTTTTTTTCCTTTTCTTTCCTTCTTTTCTTTTCTTTTTTTTTTTTTTTTTGAGGCAGAGTCTCGCTTTGTTGCC